TGAGCCCTGGTGAGTTCTGGGGGTCCCTGGGCTGGGGTTTTTGGGGTTTGGGGGTCCCGGGCCCCCCATGAGGAAACCCCCACCCGTCTGACCCCCCCGCCGGGCCCAGGACCTGCAAAGGTGGAACCCCCTGGAGCCCCCGGGGGGAAGAGAGGACGAGCAGTCCCAGCGGGGACGGTCTGAGGGGGCCTCAGAGGGGCTGTTTTGGGGTTCTGGGGGGGATTTTGGGGTGTCCAGGGCACACAATGACCCCTCCTCCATTTCCATTCCAGGATTCAATCCCCTTCTGCCCCCCGGGGGTCCCGGATGGGGTGAGCCCCTTCCCCCATGGGGCAGAGCCGGGGGTCCCGACGCCAGCTCATGACTTTGGGGGGCACGAGGTAACCCCTCTTCTCCTCCTGGGGGTCCTGAGGGGGGAACTGTTCACCCTGGGCGAGTTTTGGGGGTCTCAGGGGGTCAACACAGGGGTCCCATGGCCGGGATTTGGGGATCTCAGGGGGTTTCATGGCTGGGTTTTGGGGGTCTCAGGGCCCCACGGCCAGGTTTTGGGGGTGTCTCAGGGGGTTTCATGGCCGGGTTTTGGGGGTCCTGGGGTGTTTTGGGGCCCCCCGGGGGTGATGACCTCACGAATCTCGTTCGGCTGAGGCTGCTGCTGAGGACACAAGGACTGACCCAGGGGGTCCTGACCCCCTTTTGGGGTCCCCAAATCCTCCCAGGATCCCCCTGACCCCCCCCTTTGTATCCCCCCCTTGCAGGTGACTTCAACCTAGGACACACCTGGAGCCAGGTATGCAAATGAGTGGCGTGTGGCCTGACTGGTGACATCATCAGTGATGTCACCACCCACGCAGTGCCCCCCAGTTTTGGTGATGATGTCACTAGCTCACTTTGACCCCCCTGAAAACACCCGAACACCTGAAAAATTGGGGTGGGGGTTCCCTGGGGGGGTCCCGGGGATGAGGGGACGCCCTGACCCCCCTCCCCCCTCTGCTGCCCCGCAGGTGCCGCAGCTGTCGGGGGGCTCAGGTGAGTCCGGCGCTTTCGGGGGGGCTTTGGGGGCTTTTTTGGGGTCCCCCCCTGCCGAGGATGAGGCGATACCGCCCCAGACTGAGCCCTGTGATTGAGTGGTTCCTCCTGAGGCTCGGGGGGCTTTGGGGGGGGTCTCTGGGATTTGAGGAGGGTCTTGGGTTGTGAAACAATTTGGAAAGAGTTTTAAGGCAATTTCAAGATTTTTATCCCCTGAAATTATTTTTTTTTGCAGCTCTTGGATCATCGATGGAAATTGAAGAACTTTTCATCGATATAAATAAAAATCGTTATTTTCGTTAAAAACCTTGAGTTTGTTTTTATTTGGGGAGGGGGGGAACCCCCAGAGGGGGTCGGGGTGGGGGGTCCCATTCCCCTGAGCCCCTCCAGTGTCCCTGCCCGGGGACAAAACTCAGCCCAGGACCCCAAATTTTGGGTTAAAAAACCAATTTTGGAACCTTTGAAGGATTTTGGCCCTGCCCAGATCCCTCCTGACCCCCCAAAATTCCCCAAATGGAGAGAAACGCCCCAATGTCCCCCCAAACCTGCAATGGGGCCGTGGACATGCAAATTAATATTTAGTTATGCTAATCGAGCACTGCGAGATAATTTAATAAGATTACTTAATAATTACTTAATGATGTAATTATTTAATAAGCGCGGTTATGCTAATGAGAGCGGGTATCGCGGTTTGGGGGCGTGGCGAATGCAAATCAAGCGCTCGATCAACCAATCAGGAACGGAGAGCTGAGGGGCGTGGCTTCTAAGCGCTGTGCCGTGCGAGGGGCGGAGCTATGTAGATTAAATAGGCGGGGATATGCAAATCAGAGACACAGAAACACACCCACACCCCCGAAAGGCATCACGGGAGCAGAATTGGGGCAGAATTCGGGGGTTTCGGGGCTCGGCGCGGGCGGAGCGCGGGAGCGAAGCGCGGAGCGGCTGCGGAAAAGCTCCCGGAGCGGCTCGGGGCGTCTGCGGGGGCGGCGCGGGGGTGACCGTGAGGTGCGGGCGGGCCGAGCGGGGCCGGCTGCGGGGAGCGGAGCTCCACCGGCATCGCTTCTCGGCCTTTTGGCTAAGATCAAGTGTAGTATCTGTTCTTATCAGTTTAATATCTGATACGTCCTCGATGAGAGGACTTCATATTAAACGGATTTTTGGGCTCGGGAGTTGGACCCGGAGCTTGCTCCCTCCGCTCCGCGCATCGTCCCGGTATTGCAGTGCCTCCGGGAACGGTGCACCCCGCTCGGGGTCATTCTATCGGTGAAAGACAGACTCAGCTTCTGCTGCTCTAGCGCGATATCCCCGCGCTTCAGCCTCCAACCCTTCTCTGGCGCGATATCCCCGCGCTTCAGCCTCCAACCCTTCTCTGTCGCGATATCCCCGCGCTTCAGCCTCCAACCCTTCTCTAGCGCGATATCCCCGCGCTTCAGCCTCCAACCCTTCTCTGTCGCGATATCCCCGCGCTGCGCCTCACGCCCGGACCCTTCTCTCGCCCTCCCGCTGCCGCTGTCCCCGCACCGGCCCCGCCGCGCTCACAAACATTTTACATTTAATATTTGTCTTAATATTTGCAAAAAGCCGATAATGTAATGTGCATTTATATCCGATGCGTTCCGTTCTAAAATGGGACTGAGAGGGGAGCGGGAATGTTTCAATAAATGGGTCTGTGAGGCGAGCGAATGTGTTTTATTTATTAAATGTATTTTTTTAATTATTATTTTTAGGTATTTTTACCGTTTTCCTGTCGTTTCTCAGCCGGGATTGTCTGCTGTTGCCCTGAGGTCGGGGATCAAAGTGGCCGCGGGCGGGAAAGCGCGTGAGGGGAGCCCCGGGATCTGAGGGGAAAAAATGCGACATTTAAAACTCAACGTGTTTTATTTATTAAATCTATTTCTTTTATTACTATTTTTAGGTATTTTTACCGTTTTTCGGTCGTTTCTCAGCCGGGATTCTCTGCTGTCCCCCTGAGGTCGGGGATCAAAATGGCGGCGGGCGGGAAAGCGCGTGAGGGGAGCCCCGGGACCTGAGGGGGCAACGGCGACATTTGGGCACAGAGCCGTGTCGGGAGTCGCGACAGACACACGATACCCCTCAGCCGCTGAATGCCGGGCCCTCAGCCCGCGGCGGGAGCGGGGAGAAGCCGGCGCCGTTTCCCGGAGCCTGGTGAGGGGATGGGGGAAAGCGGCAGCTCCCGAGGGGCGGCTCCGCTGCAGCGGGAGCCGCTCCCGGCACCGCGTTCGGGGCCGCTCCGAGGAGCGAAGGCGATCGGGAGCGGGACGGGGTCGATCTGTTCGGGATAAACCCCCGGGAGCGCTGCGGGAGCCGCAGGACACGGCGGGAGCGAGGCCGAGCGGCGATGGCAGGGCTGTGGGCGCGATAGAGCCGCGATAGAACCGCGTTAGATCGGCAGTGGAGCTGCGATAAATCGGTGATAAATCGGTGATAGAACCACGACAGATCGGCGATAGAACCGCGATAGATCGGCAGTAGAGCTGCGATAGAACGGTGCTAAATCGGTGATAGAACCACGATAGATCGGCGCTCGATGGCCACGGGCGGTCGCTCGGAGCGCGGCGGGGCCGGTGCGGGGACAGCGGCAGCGGGAGGGCGAGAGAAGGGTCCGGGCGTGAGGCGCAGCGCGGGGATATCGCGCCAGAGAAGGGTGGGAGGCTGAAGCGCGGGGATATCGCGCTAGAGCAGCAGAAGCTGAGTCTGTCTTTCACCGATAGAATGACCCCGAGCGGGGTGCACCGTTCCCGGAGGCACTGCAATACCGGGACGATGCGCGGAGCGGAGGGAGCAAGCTCCGGGTCCAACTCCCGAGCCCAAAAATCCGTTTAATATGAAGTCCTCTCATCGAGGACGTATCAGATATTAAACTGATAAGAACAGATACTACACTTGATCTTAGCCAAAAGGCCGAGAAGCGATGCCGGTGGAGCTCCGCTCCCCGCAGCCGGCCCCGCTCGGCCCGCCCGCACCTCACGGTCACCCCCGCGCCGCCCCCGCAGCCGCCCCGAGCCGTTCCCGGGCTCTCCCCGCGCCCCCTCCCGCATTTCCCGCTCGCGTCCCGCCCGGTGCGACCCCCGTGAACCCCGAAAACCCCCGAAAAACTCTCCCAGCGTGCCTTTCGCGCACTCCGGCTCGGTAAATCTGCATAGCCCCGCCCCTCACCCCGGCAGCGCGGGAAGTTTCAAGCGGGACAGCGGAGCCTTGGGAGAATTGGGGAAAATTCGGGATTTTGGGAGTCTTGGCTGGCTTTGCTGCGGGCAGCGAGGATGAGGAGGCGGCGGGACCTGCCGGGGGTCGCTCTGGGAGGTGTTTTCTCTCCTGGAGGAGAGGAGAGGCTGAAGGAGGAGCTGAGGGTGCAAAGCCTTGTGCTGGAGCAGCACCGGAGCGGGTGCGATCCTTTTCTACCCAATTTCATATTCCCGGTACCTTCAGTTCCATCCCGGTTCTTCCCCAGCGCCTCCCCTTGTGACACCGGCAAAAAGAGCGGGCACTGAGAGGACAAGGAGTTTAAATACAGGGAAAAACCTTCTTTCCATAAGCGCCTGTTTAAATGGAGGGGGAACCCCCTCACGGGCGATTCTCGGAGCTTCCATCGCGCCTTTTTCATTCTCTGATTAACGGGAAACGCCATTTCCCTTCATTTTCGCTTCAGAGATCGCAAAGGCGCGGGGCCGGCAGAGCTGACAGAGGCACCGGCCCTGGCAGGGACCCGGCCGGGGGTCCCGGAGCTCCCGGAGCTCCCGGGCCGTGCCCGCCGGGGGTCCCGAGCCGTGCCCGCCGGGGTTCCCGGGCCGTGCCCGCCGCCCTCACCGGGGCGGCCATCGCTCCCTGAGGGAGGCGCCGCCATGAGGGAGGGGGCGGGGCCAGCCGGTGCGACCACGCCCATTGTGGGCGGGGCCAGTCCCGCTCCCGGAAGCGGCGCGGGCGGTGCCCCGGAAGCGGCGGGCGCTGACCCGGAAGCGGCGCGGGGCGGGCAGGGCGGCGATGGCGGCGGAGGAGCCTCAGCAGCCGCAGCCGGAGCCGCTCGGCGGCAGCGATGCCGACGGTACCGATGGAGCCCCCTCACACATCCCCCATCCCGCCACCCTCGGGATGCGATCCCCCTCTTCTCCCACGCGCCGCGGCCTCGCTCCTCCCGGGAGGGCCTCCATCATCCCGGCAGCCCCCGGACCGCCCCCGGTTCCCCGGGCCCGCCGCCCGAATCCCCCAAAACCTCCCCGGTCCCTCCGCGCCGTCCCCGTCCTCCCCCCTCAGCACCCTCTCGGCGGGACCCCCGAGCCCCCAGACCCTCCCGGTGGGGCCGGGGAGCCCCCCGGGACCCCCCCCGGTGACCCCCGGTGTCCCCCCAGGCGTGAACTGCCTGGCCTACGACGAGGCGATCATGGCGCAGCAGGACCGGATCCAGCAGGAGGTGGGGAACCCCCCGCCCCAAATCCTCCCCCGGAGCCCCCCCGGGGGTCCCGGAGCCCCCCCGAGGCCGTGACCCCCCCCGGGCCCGGTTTGTCCCCGCAGATCGCGGTGCAGAACCCGCTGGTCTCGGAGCGCCTGGAGCTGTCCGAGCTCTACAAGGAGTACGCCGAGGATGACCACGTGTACCAGGAGAAGATCAAGGTGCGGCACTGGGGGGAACTGGGACGTACTGGGACATACTGGGGGGCACTGGGGGACACTGGGACATACTGGGACAGGGCTGGGCAGGGCACTGGGACATACTGGGGGGCACTGGGACACCGGGACGGGGCTGGGCGAGGCACTGGGACATACTGGGGGGCACTGGGAGGCACTGGGACATCCTGGGGGGCACTGGGGGAGAACTGGGACATACTGGAGGGGAACTGGGACATACTGGAGGAGCACTGGGACATACTGGGAGGAACTGGGACACCGTGACAGGGCTGGGTGAGGCACTGGGACATACTGGGAGGTACTGGGACATACTGGGAACAGCACCAGGGTGGGACTGAGAGCCGCTCTGGGACACTGTGATGGGACTGGGAGGCACTGGGACATACTGGGAGGAGCTGGGACACCCAGTACAGAGCTGGTGGTGGCACCGGGACATACTGGGACGCACTGGGACATACTGGGAACAGCACCAGGGTGGAACTGGGAGGCACTGGGACACCAGGCCGGGGTTGGCTGCAGCCTGGGACTGTCCTGGCGCTGTCCCCATGTCCCCAGGGCTGTCCCCATGTCCCCAGAGGTGTCCTGGGCTCTCCTGGCGCTCTCCTGGCACTCTCCTGGCACTGTCCCCATGTCCCCAGGGCTGTCCCAGCGTTGTCCTGGCACTGTCCCCGTGTCCCTGGCGCTGTCCCCATGTCCCCAGAGGTGTCCTGGGCTCTCCTGGTGCTCTCCTGGCGCTGTCCCCATGTCCCTGGTGCTGTCCCCATGTCCCAGGGTTGTCCTGGTGCTGTCCCCGTGTCCCTGGGGCTGTCCCCATGTCCCTGGGGCTGTCCTGGCGCTGTCCCCGTGTCCCCCCGGTGTCCCCACGGCCCCTGTCCCCCCCAGGACCTGCTGCAGAAATATTCCTACATCCGCAAGACGCGGCCGGACGGGAACTGCTTCTACCGCGCCTTCGGCTTCGCGCACCTGGAGGCGCTGCTGGAGGACGGGCAGGAGCTGCAGCGGTGCGGAGCCCCCCCAGAAACACCCCCAGGGACCCCAAAAACACCCCTGAGACCCCAGAAACACCCCTGAGATCCCAAAAACACCCCTGAGATCCCAAAAAC